GTGAAATATACTGTATCAGCACACACTCTACATCACTATTACACAGTGAAATATACTGTATCAGCACACACTCTACATCACTATTACACAGTGAAATATACTGTATCAGCACACACTCTACATCACTATTACACAGTGAAATATACTGTATCAGTACACAGCTAAATGTAGGACCAGTAATTCAGGGCTCACTACTACACCTCACTATGATGGTATCAGCGGGAAAAGTTATCAGAAATCAGCAGGGTCTCATGTATATATGAAGGGTTTTTATACGCCTGTCAAATTTGACGAGAGTATTATAGTATGGTGCGTCCGTCCCTCCGTCCGATCTCTTCGAAACTTGGTAGACATTATAATCATGATATGAAGTTGTGTCTCCCTTAAAAGAATTTGATTTGACAATTTTTCCAAAAGTTATTGCCCTTTAATTTGTTCATTTCAGTCTGTGATTTTTTGTCCGGAGATCTCCTCCTACAGTTTTTTGACGGATTTCTTTGAAACTTAGTAGGCTAAATAATCATGATATTTTGTTGTGTTTCCTTGAAACGAATTTCGATTCGACAAATTTTGCAAAAGTTATTGCCCTTTGTTTATTTCAGTATTTGATTTTTGTTCAGCAATCTCCTCCTTCATTTTTGCAACGGATCTCTTTGAAGTATACATTATAATCATGATATGAAGTTGTGTCTACTGTAAAAGAACTTTGATTCAACTATTTTTGCAAAAGTTATTGCCCTTTGTTCATTTCAGTATTTGATTATTTTTTTTTACATAGATTTTCTCCTACATTTTTTATAGCATGTCAGCTAACCACTCTTAAAATGATGCAGATCTTATTTCAATGTAAGAAAGTATAAACACTATATGGCATTCGACGGGCGTATATTGTTCCTACCCCGCGGTACTCTTGTTAAGTATGCTATATGTAGTGTTTAGCATGCAGCATACAATATTAAAGTGCAGCTTACTGAAAACTTAGTATCTACAAAGTGACACAAAGTGACACAAATACTGACAGATTTCTGTATCTATAAACAGAAAGTGACAAATGTTAGAAGACGTTAGCTGTTACTTGCACCTCAAACGTATGTAATACTTTTGTCTGTCATTTCAGGAAAAGTTCCAAGTAGCAAAAATTTTGAATAGTGTAGCAGGTGATGCTCCGACAGATTACTCCACGCTCGTTGTAAAGGAGAAAAAGCGAAGGTGAGAACAACATTCATGTTTACTTTGATACAGTTTTATGCTTGTGTGGCATTTTATTGAGTGAAAACCTTGTAACAGATTGACAGACTGATCTGCTTCACCCTTCCCTTTAGCACAATGTATCACTAGCTCTCTCACTCTAATAATATATCACACATGCTTTAAGACATCAGAGGGGAAATCATTGAACAAGAGGTAACTATAATGGCTTACTATAACAGGATCCATACCCAGTACATGTATAGATCTATGGTAGGGGATACTACGTAATGACGATTTATAACATGGGATCTTATGTATATTTTTGAGTGAAACAAGTCCGAGAAATCTCAAGTTTAGCAATCTAAATGAAAACAAAATTTGGTGATGAGGTCCATAAATCTTGTATGAAATTAAAATAAAATTAAGATCTCTTCCATCACATGATCAAGAATTTTTGCTGATATTACAGAAAAGAGGTGTTTCCAGGTGATAATGGAAGTCTATATTTCTGCCATCTTGATTGTATCTATATATATATCTATTGTCCTCCTACCTTATGATGTCATAATCTAATCTGAAAATCAGTTTCTCTTTATTATCATCGCAATGTAGGTCATATAATTATTACATGAGTTCATTTAAAAAATGATCTCAGATCTTACTGAATAAACCAGTAATTATATGATAAATGTTTCAATCCGATTTATACAAGATTTATGTACATTCCTCGTGTAACTTGTCTTTTTACATCCAGTTAACAGTGAGACCTCTGTAACCTATTTGTAATTTTACCTGTGCACTGATTGGCTTCTTTTTCGAAAATTAACCCCAATTTTATCATTACAAATTTAAGTTTTTTTTCTTATAGCAAACACTGACATAGATGCTCCTCAAAGGTTTGCCAACTACTTTGGTAAAATGTTTTTGAAATAACACAAAAACTTTCAGACTATTTTCACGTTAAACTGCTGTGGCTCACTGTATTCACAGGCTGACAGGACTCATTGTCTTCACAGACGTTTCACTGTTAATTGGTTATCAACACATTCACACCCGAGAATAAACAGCGCATTCACATCCGAGAATAAACAATGCATTCACCTCCTAGAATAAACAACACATTCACACCGCAGAATAAAAACACATTCACACCCAAGAATAAATAATGCATTCACATCCGAGAATAAACAATACATCTCACATACGAGAATATACAACACACTTCACATACGAGAATAAACAACACATTATCATCTGAGAATAAACAACACATTCACAACTGAGAATAAACAACACATTCAGACCCGAGAATAAACAAGATATTCACATCCGAGAATAAACAACACATTATCATCTGAGAATAAACAACACATTCATGCACCACCTAGAATAAACAACGCATTCACACTCGAGAATTAACAACACATTCACACCTTATAATAAACAACACATTCACACCCAAGAATAAACAACACATTCAGACCCAAGAATAAACGAGATATTCACACCCGAGAATAAACAACACATTCAGACCCGAGGTTAAACAACACATTTCACATACGAGAATAAACAACATATTCATACCCAAGAATAAACAACACATTCACACCCGTGAATAAACAACACATTCACCCCCGAGAATTAACAACACATTTCACATTCGAGAGTAAAAAACACATTCACAACCGAGAATAAACAACACATTCACACCAGTGAATAGACAACACATTCACCCCCGAGAATTAACAACACATTTCACATACAAGAATAAACAACACATTCACACCCGAGAATATGCAACACATTCACACCTGAGATTAAACAACACATCTCACATATGAGAATAAACAACACATTCATACCCGAGAATAAACAACACATTCACACCCGAAAATAAACAACACATTCACACCCGAGAACTAACAACACATTTCGCATACGAGAATAAACAACACATTCTCACCCGGGAATAAATAACACCTTCATACCAAGGAATAGGCCACACATTCACACCCAAGGATGGACAACATAATCACATCGGGGAATAAACAAAACATTGACACCCGAAAATAACCAATCATTATGTAGACTCCTGAGTGTTATGTATATAGTAGGTACTTTGTACAGGTAGATGTTTCGTTTTTTTGAGACAGTGGAACTTTGTCATCTCACAGAGGTCTAGACAACTAATAACCTTCTGATTTACAATTAATTTGCATAAATGTATATCATCAAATCTTGTATTTATAGGTCAGCTATGATTTCATAATTTGATGTGTTAAATAAAAGTAGAAAGTAATTTTTACTAAGTTTAATTCTTTAGATATGTTGAAAATATATTTGAAAAATTGAATGTTGATGAATGTACAAATGGAGATCTAGTTAATGCTCTCCACATCGGTGAATAGAACATGTATCTGTATACCAGACATGTATAAGGTTTACCAAAGCAAACTATTAGATCTGTTTCATCAAGTCCAAGCAGACTGTGTAAGTTTTCAAAGTTCCACTGCGTCTGTGCTTGATTTCAGTTCATTATATCACTTGCATCCTGTTTTTAGAAAAACACGATCATCAAATTATGAATTATTTGATGAGAACGGACTACCAGTTGTTAAAGAAGATAAAACTCATAAACAAAAACAATCTCATAAAGAGGAAAGGACAAGAAACAAGGGAGACGACTCTGTAAAACCATTGGTAGAGAAGGGAACTGAAAGCAAAAAGCAGGCTCCTCCTGTTAGTCCGAATGGCGACGCAAGCAGTGTGTAGGTATCTCACTAGTAACGCAGTGTTGATGTTGTTACCTAATAATACATTGATATGTAGTTCTCTGTGTAGACCTGTTAACATTGATTCCTGATCGGTATCATATAAGTATATATCTACACTACCATGGTGCACAACCAATAGGCCCTTCCTCTGTTAGTAAATGACACTGTGTCATTATTATAACCTATAGTTGTAACAGGTGAAATGTTGTGACCTTTATTGTCTGAGGTAGATAGAAGACAGAATCATTGGTATAACCTCTAACTCAGTTAACAGGTGAGTAGTTGTGACCTTTATTGTCTGAGGTAGATAGAAGACAGTGTCATTGGTATGACCTCTTACTCAGGTAACAGGTGAAATGTTGTGACCTATATTGTCTGAGGTAGATAGAAGACAGTGTCATTGGTATGACCTCTTACTCGGGTAACAGGTGAAATGTTGTGACCTTTATTGTCTGAGGTAGATAGAAGACAGTGTCATTGGTATGACCTCTAACTCAGGTAACAGGTGATGTGTTGTGACCTGTATTGTCTGAGGTAGATAGAAGACAGTGCCATTGGTATGACCTCTAACTCAGGTAACAGGTGAGGTGTTGTGACCTGTATTGTCTGAGGTAGATAGAAGACAGTGCCATTGGTATGACCTCTAACTCGGGTAACAGGTGAAATGTTGTGACCTTTATTGTCTGAGGTAGATAGAAGACAGTGCCATTGGTACAATGTAGGACCTCTAACTCAGGTAACAGGTGAAATGTTGTGAGCTTTATTGTCTAAGGTAGATAGAAGACAGTGCCATTGTTATGACCTCTAACTCAGGTAACAGGTGAGGTGTTGTGACCTGTATACTCATTGTCTGAGGTAGATAGAAGACAGTGCCATTGGTACAATATAGGACCTCTAACTCAGGACACAGGTGAAATGTTGTGACCTTTATTGTCTGAGGTAGATAGAAGACAGTGTCATTGGTACAATGTATGACCTCTAACTGAGGTAACAGGTGAAATGTTGTGACCTTTATTGTCTGAGGTAGATAGAAGACAGTGCCCTTGGTATGACCTCTAACTAAGGTAACAGGTGGTGTGTTGTGACCTGTATTGTGTGAGGTAGATAGAAGACTGTGTCATTGGTATGACCTCTACCTCAGGTAACAGGTGATGTGTTGTGACCTGAATTGTCTGAGGTAGATAGAAACCAGTGCCATTTGTATGCCCTCTAACTCAGGTAACAAGTTAGGTGTTGTGACCTGTATTGTGTGAGGTAGATAGAAGACTGTGTCATTGGTATGACCTCTACCTCAGGTAACAGGTGATGTGTTGTGACCTGTATTGTGTGAGGTAGATAGAAGACAGTGCCATTGGTATGACCTCTAACTCAGGTAACAAGTTAGGTGTTGTGACCTGTATACGAATTGTCTGAGGTAGGTAGAAGACAGTGCCATTGGTACAATATAGGACCTCTAACTCAGGACACAGATGAAATGTTGTGACCTTTATTGTCTGAGGTAGATAGAAGACAGTGCCATTGGTACAATTTAGGACCTCTAACTCAGGTAACAGGTGAAATGTTGTGACCTTTATTGTCTGCGGTAGATAGAAGACAGTGCCTTTGGTACAATATAGGACCTCTAAGTCAGGACACAGATGAAATGTTGTGCCCTTTATTGTCTGAGGTAGATAGGAGACAGTGCCATTGGTATGACCTCTTACTCAGGTAACAGGTGAGGTGTTGTGACCTGTATTGTCTGAGGTAGATAGAAGACAGTGCTATTGGTACAATGTAGGACCTGTAACTCAGGTAACAGGTGAGGTTTTGTTACCTTTGTGATCCTATCTCATATCTGTCTTGGAATGAAATGCCAATATTAGATTTACATAATTTCTTGTTTGTTACGTAACGATTAAGTTCATCTTACATAGATTACTTCCAATAAACCCCCTCTCTGTTCCACTGAACTCTGATCCTCTTTACTCCACCTAATTCTCTTCCTAGTTTTTAACAATAACTAGCTCCTATATTATATTTCATTCTATAAACCATGGTTCATCTATTTTTTATTTGTATGTCTTACTTTTAATAGCATGAAGAATGACTTTTAAAACTGATGTTTTTGCTGTAAATGTTTTATAGTGATGGACATGTAATGACACCTTGAGTGAAATATTGATTGAGATGGACAAGGGACCAGTTTGTATTCTGTCTTTGCGTATTGCAGAGTTATCTTCTCTTGTGAGCAGGTATTGATTGTTACTTCATTTATTTTTGAGAGTAACGTCATCAATCCTCAAAAACGACGTAATTTTCTCAAATAAACCAATGACGTAACAATCAATACCTGCTCACAAGAGCAGATAACTCTGCAATACAAAAAACCGGAATAGGGCTGAATCGACACTTGCGTACAGATTCTGATGGGTTAAATTAAAAGTGTTGATAGAAATTGACTGGTTTGTAGGGCTGTGATTGATGTTGACACTTACAAACAGACTCAGTAAGTAAGCCAGTTTGGTTTTTCTTTGGCTAATGTCACTGTCAGTTACTCAAATTTAGAATGCATGGATGTTTATAAAAAAGTTGCTTTTAATCCGCTAGCAAATTGTCTTTATTTGTGAAGTATTTTGTATCTCTTATCAATCACAATTCAGTGTATTTCTAGCTGTACTTGTAATCACTGTGGACACTCTATAAGAAAGGTTGTAAATAGTTGTTGGGTTATACCCAAAACGAAGGCTTCGAATACTGTCCCATTTGTGAAGCTAAGTACTAGAACAGCTTAGAGTGTTCATGCTAAATTAAGTCATTGCTCATAGGTACTAAAAAGCTTCACAAAATACCTGCCAGATGTCATAAATATATAGTGATGAATTATCATAAAGTGTCTGTAGAGTGAAGGTCACCAGTCCTATTAGAGGTCTATTCAACCTTCTTTTTATTTGTCCATTAATCTTGAATGTTTAAGTTTTTATAAGCTGCTCTGATCTCGTGCAGAGCTACTTTTAGCTCACCTGTCCGAAGGGCAAGTGAGCTTATGCCATGGTGCGGCGTCCGGCGTCCGGCCGGAGTCCGGCATCCGTCTGTCCGGCTTCAACTTTTTACTTAAACAACTTCTTTTCAGTAACCAAGAGGCCTAGGGTGATGATATTTGGCCAGTAACATGCTGGGATGAAACGCTACCAAGTTTGTTCAAACAAATGACCTTCTCCCATTTCCAAGGTCACAGGGGTCAAATATGTTTAAAACCTTTAAACAACGTCTTCTGAATACCCAAGAGGGAAAGGATAATGTTATTTGGCCAGTAACATGCTGGGATGAAGGGCTAACAAGTTTGTTCAAACGGATGACCTTCATCTATTTTCAAGGTCACAGGGTTCAAACATGCTAAAAACCTTTAAACAACTTCTTGTCAAGAACCAAGAGGGCTAGGGTGATGATATTTGGCCAGTAACATGCTGGGATGAAGGGCTACCACGTTTGTTCAAACAAATGACCTTTTCCCATTTCCAAGGTCACAGGGGTCAAATATGTTTAAAACCTTTAAACAACGTCTTCTGAATACCCAAGAGGGAAAGGATAATGTTATTTGGCCAGTAACATGCTGGGATGAAACGCTACCAAGTTTGTTCAAACAAATGACCATTTTCAAGGTTGCAGGGGTCAAATATGTTTAAAACCTTTAAACAAATTCTTCTGAACTACCAAGAGGCCTAGGCTTATGATATTTGACCAGTTAGATGCTGGGATGAAGGGCTACCAAATATGCTCGAATGAATGAACTTCGCTCATATCCAAGGTCACAGGGGTCAAATATGTTAAAATCTTTGAACGACCTCTTCAGAATGACAAAGAGGCCTAGGGTGATGATATTTGGCCTTTAGCATGCTGGGATGAAGGGCTACCAAGTTTGTTCAAACAAATGATCTTCACCCATTTTCAAGGTCACAGGGGTCAAATATGTTTAAAACCTTTAAAACTACTTCTTCTCAATAACCAAGAGGCTGAGGGTTATAGTATTTGGCCTGTAGCATGCTGGGATGAAGCGCTACCAAGTTTGTTAAAATGAATGACTTTGACAATTATTCAAGGTCACAGTGGTCAAATATGTTTAAAACCTTTAAACAACATCTTTTCAATAACCAAAAGACCTAGGATGATGCTGTTTGGCCAGTAGCATGCTAGGATGAAGGACTACCAAGTTTATTCAAACGAATGACCTCGACATATATTAAAGGTTACAGGGGTCAAATATGTTCAAAACCTTTAAACGACCTCTTCTCAATAAGCAAAAGGCTAAGGATGATGATAATTGACCATTAACATGCTGGGATGAGGGACTACCAGGTTTTTACCAATTAATGACCTTCGCCCATATGCAAGGTCACAGTGGTCAATTTATGTTTAAATCTTTAAATGACTTGTTCTGTATAACCAAAAGGTCCAGGGGAATGATATTTTGCCAGAAGCATGCTTGGTTGGACGACTATAAACTCTGTTCAACCTTATGTCCTTGTTCGACATTCAAGGTCACAGGTGTCATATGTTTAAATCTTTTAATAGGTTCTTATGAGTCAAACACTGATATTCTGCCTGTAGCTGTATTTTAGTCCACTTCAAAGATTATTTGTGAGATTAATACCAGGTGAGCGATTCAGGCCCATTGGGCCTCATGTTTGTATCTGAAAACAAATTTACATATGAATTAGAACAACAGTTGATTTAAGATTGTTGGGTCTGAACTTTTACAAGGCAATGTGTTCACTGTCCTGTACTGCAACACTCGTGATAATAACACTGCTTCAGCAGCTACCGTTATATAATGTATCACATACCGTAGTGTATCTTGTTCTTCAATAAACATCTCACCATGCTATAATATGTACAGTTCAGTTAACAACCGTATTTCTCCACCAATTTTATTGCCAATTTTAATTGATTGATGAATAAAAAAAATAAAAAAATTGGAAGGCCATTGATTGTATATAAGTTAGGTAGTCTCCCCTGTTGTGAGGGGTCATCTCTGGATCATAACCCTTAGTAAGTAAAATAACAGCTTGCTAGATACATTTCATTTTTGCAAATTTTGTTTTTTGGGTATATGATTTATTATTTACTGCATGTGTTATGTTATCAAAGTCACTTTGTTTACAGAAACGTTTTCTTTTCTTTTGATTTTTTTTTGCTACATTTTGAAGTAAAAAATAAATCCTTAGATATTGTTTAAGCATTGAACTGCTTTCAGTTGGCATTCGTAGGCAATATGGACAAATTAAGACAAATTCAGTGTGCTAGCCTATGTCAACTGAAAGCAGTTCAGTACTTACATTTAGTGTTTTTGGAATTTGTTTATCTAATAGAAAATTCAGTTACACTTATCAATATTCTGCATTAAGTTCAAATCAAATATTTATACAAATATACAGCTAGATAATGTGTAACATTCCCGTAGAAATAACCTTATTGTATAAATAATATTATTGTATAACATCCCCGTAGAAATAATCTTATAGCCAGCTTTGTAGTTAGGTTTATATTTCAATCCCTAGTACTCAGAAATTCTCATTTATATTTTAATCCCAAGTATCTAGATCAGTCTCACTTAACTTGATGTTACTGGTAGATATAGAAGTCCAATAGGCTAGATATTTGTTTTAACAATTCAGAAACTTTGATAATTATCTATTGAGCTCAAATCTTTATCAGTCCCTAATAACCTTAAATTATAAATCCTGAACCATTTTTGTTGCACTTAGTAACTTATCTGAGGATGTGAAGAAAAGTTGAATTTGATTATGAAATATATACCAAGTTATTCAAAGTCAAATAAGATTAAAATCTAATTTTCTTTCTTTTTCTTGACGTTATTGCAGTTTTTCTTTGTCAATGTAGAGTCATCAGACAAAAGAAATTACCATTACTACCAGTAGATATACAATATATCCAGTAGATATACAATATTACCAGTAGATATACAATATTAACAGTAGATATACAATATTAACAGTAGATATACAATATTACCAGTAGATATACAATATTACCAGTAGATATACAATATTTGTCATTTTAATATTTTTATTGCTCCCCCTGAATTTATTTACGATGTGGATTTTTCTATGTGACATTTTAGTGGTATACAAGAGGAACTATGGTACTGCGATGACAAGAGCAAAACCAACAGGTATACACTTCACTCTAACACTGCATGAGGGTATATATTGTAGCTACCAGACGTATATCTCAGCTATATACCAAAGTCTTATCTCAGCTATATACCAGTCTTATATCAGCTATAAACCAAAGTCTTAGAATCTATCTAAGTGCAAGTATACAATTCACTGTAGCTACTAGACATATATCTCAGCTATATACCAAAGTCTTATCTCAGCTATATACCAAAGTCTTATCTCAGCTATATATATACCAAAGTCTTATCTCAGCTATATACCAAAGTCTTATCTCAGCTATATACCAAAATCTTAACTCAGCTATATACCAGAGTCTTATCTCAGCTATATACCAAAGTCTTAACTCAGCTATATACCAAAGTCTTAACTCAGCTATATACCAAAGTCTTAACTCAGCTATATACCAAAGTCTTAGAATCTTTCCAACTGCAAGTATACAATTCACTGTAGCTACTAGACATATATCTCAGCTATATACCAAAGTCTTATCTCAGCTATATACCAGCGTATTATCTCAGCTATATACCAAAGTCTTATTTCGGCTATATACCAAAGTCTTAGAATCTATCTAAGTGCAAGTATACAATTCACTGTAGCTATTAGACATATATCGTAACTATATACAAAAGTCTTATAATTTTTTGTCTTACTGCAAGTAAAAAATGCACTGTGTCGCTGCATAGCTGTATATTGTATTCATACCAAAAATATAGCTCATTTTTATATCAAAGTCTTACAATCTATCTAACTGCAAGTAAACAATGCACTGTATTGCTGCATGGCTGTATATTGTATCTATACCGGACATATAGCTTATCTATATACCAAAGTCTTACAATCTATTAGTGATATATAATTAATTAAGTCACTCTGTTGTATATAAATCTCAGAATCTATCCAACAACAGTTAGTTGTCCATTCCACCAGCTAACTTTCCACTGCTTTGAGATGCAACAGCACATACTTGCTACAGTGTATTTGATAGAGTATTTAATAGATTAGTCATTACCATTCACTGTGCAGTTTGGCATGACTTGAATGACTGGAAAGGTTATAAACAGTTTTTGATTGGTATTTGTAACAAAACACTTGAATACAAAGTTGTCAGATTTCTTTGATGAACTTGAAATAGTTGGTTGGAATAGAGGACAAGTTTTATTAAAAATCAATTAGTTTTAAAGACTGTTGCCATATGGTACTTGATGATTGACAAGTGTCTACATTTTTGTTACTCTCTATGTTATGTATAGATTCACTAACTTTCATTTTTTTTAATTTTTTTTAAAGTCATTGGAATTCTATCTCTTCGCTAAACCTTGTTGGTTTTTGTATCGCCGCCACCAAGTAACGGAAGCGAGACTTAGGTGTTGGTTTTCCAGTGGCCGCGGCATCAACATTAAGTTTTAGCATTTAAGTTAGTGTCACCTAAAGTATAAGTACTACACCAACCAAACTTGGACCATACATGCATCTTAGGTAGTACATCTCAACCCATGCATCAAATGCTGGATGCAGCCATGGTCCATTGACTTTGTCAGCATCTCCATCAACATTAAGTTTTGAGTTTAAGTTAGTTTCTCTGAAACTATAAATGCTAGACCAAACAAATTTGACATGTGCATTGATGGTCAAAGTGGGGCACAGGCGAGACATAATCAATCCGAATGGCTTGTTTAATAAAGAAATAAAACTTTGCCTTGTTAACGTTATAGGTGGAGTAACTGCAGTAGCTTTATCTAGTTTTATCACATGGTTTCTGTCCCACAAAATGTTGTAATAACTGGCAAATTCTAGTATAATGTTGCTTGACAGATCTTCATGTGAGGCATATAACTTGATGATAATGAGGAAGTGTACCATAAATAAATGCATCATCATTACAGTTTTATAAACAGCTAGTTTTAATTCACATGAAGTGTTCTTGTCTTTTATAAACTTTACAAGTCAAACAAGCTGACCATGGAGATAATTATGTAGAATCAGGCTATACATAAACTTATGAAAACAAAAATCAGTCAAATTAAGATATTATCATATCACAAGTCTTTCCATGTTGTTGATAGACACCAGGACAAGCAGACTATTAAAAGCTTAAAAACTTGAACTTCAGATTAATATATATCCTATTTTGTAATAATGTCTATTTTTCTTGGGCTTGTGTTATGTTTTCTATATCTGTAACATGTAATTGTTTGATAACAAATTACCTGACGATATCCCAGTATACCTGACAATATCTGTGTAATACCTGACAATATCCCAGTAATATCTGACAATATCCCAGTAATATCTGACGATATCCCAGTATACCTGACAATATCCCTGTAATATCTGACGATATCCCAGATTACCTGACGATATCCCAGTAATATCTGACAATATCCCAGTAATATCTGACGATATCCCAGTATACCTGACAATATCCCAGTAATATCTGACAATATCCCAGTATACCTGACAATATCCCAGTAATATCTGACGATATCCCAGTATACCTGACAATGTCCAAGTAATATCTGACAATATCCCAGATTACCTGACAATATCCCAGTAATATCTGACAATATCCCAGTAATATCTGACGATATCCCAGTATATCTGACGATATCCCAGTAATATCTGACAATATCCCAGTAGTACCTGACAATATCCCAGTATACCTGACAATATCCCAGTAATATCTGACAATATCCCAGTAATATCTGATGATATCCCAGTATATCTGACGATATCCCAGTAATATCTAACAATATCCCAGTAGTACCTGACAATATCCCAGTATACCTGACAATATCCCAGTAATTATATCTGACGATATCCCAGTATACCTGACAATATCCCAGTAATTAATATCTGACGATATCCCAGTATACCTGACAAAATCCCAGTAATATCTGACGATATCCCAGTAGTACCTGACAATATCCCAGTAATATCTGACAATATCCCAGTAATATCTGACGATATCCCAGTATACCTGACAATATCCCAGTAATATCTGACGATATCCCAGATTACCTGACAATATCCCAGTAATATCTGACGATATCCCAGTATACCTGACGATATCCCAGGATATCTGACGATATCCCAGTAATATCTGGCGATATCCCAGTAGTACCTGACAATATCCCAGTAGTACCTGACAATATCCCAGTAATACCTGACAATATCCCAGTAATATCTGACAATATCCCAGAATACCTGACAATATCCCAGTAATATCTGACAATATCCCAGTAATATCTGACGATATACCAGTATACCTGACGATATCCCAGGATATCTGACGATATCCCAGTAATATCTGGCGATATCCCAGTAGTACTTGACAATATCCCAGTAGTACCTGACAATATCCCAGTAATACCTGACAATATCCCAGTAATATCTGACGATAACCCAGTATATCTGACGATATCCCAGTAATATCTGGCGGGGGCCCAGTAGTACCTGACAATATCCCGGTAGTACCTGACAATATCCCAGTAATATCTGACAATATCCCAGAATACCTGACAATATCCCAGTAATATCTGACAATATCCCAGAATACCTGACAATATCCCAGTAATATCTGACGATATCCCAGTATATCTGACGATATCCCAGTAATATCTTACGATATCCCAGTATACCTGGCAATATCCCAGTAATATCTGACAATATCCCAGTAATATCTGACGATAACCCAGTATATCTGACGATATCCCAGTAATATCTTACGATATCCCAGTATCCCTGGCAATATCCCAGTAATATCTGACAATATCCCAGTAATATCTTACGATATCCCAATATACCTGGCAATATCCCAGTAATATCTGACAATATCACAGTATACCTGTCAATATCCCAGTAAAGCTGACAATATCCCAGTAGTACCTGACAATATCACAGTAATATCTGACAATATCCCAGTAATATCTGACAATATCCCAGTATACCTGACAATATCCCAGTAATATCTGACAATATCCCAGTATACCTGTCAATATCCCAGTATAGCTGACAATATCCCAGTAGTACCTGACAATATCACAGTAATATCTGACAATATCCCAGTAATATCTTACGATATCCCAGTAATATCGCACGATAGACCAGTATTCCTGACAAGATCCCAGTAATATCTGACAATACCCCAGTAATATCTGACAATATCCCAGTATATCTGACAATATCCCAGTAATATCTGACGATATCCCAGTAATATCGCACGATATACCAGTATACCTGACAATATCCCAGTAATATCTGACAATATCCCAGTATACCTGACAATATCCAAGTAATATCTGACAATATCCCAGTAATATCTGACGATATACCAGTATACCTGACAATATCCAAGTAATATCTGACGATATACCAGTATACCTGACAATATCCAAGTAATATCTGACAATATCCCAGTAATATCTGACGATATCCCAGTATAGCTGCTGATACAGTGTTTGCTTTGATCTACTAGAGTGTGGTTTGTAACTGGTCTTTGGCTCCGGGAGTGGTATGATGATTTGATCTTGCTCTTGCAATTATTGATTTGCGTGCAGTTTTTTAATTATTTGCTGACAGTTTATATTGGTTGGATACTTCATAAACAAGAAGAAGTATCATCATCGCACCTTCGGCTTGACCCCGTATTTATTTAACTGACCGTCTATGGTTCCGTACTATTTAATGATCATCTACAATGTATGGTTCTGTAGTAGGTCAGTAAAAAACCATATAACTAATATTATCACTGTAGGTTAAATATTGTGTTATGTTTATAATGCTGCGGTAAATTCACATTGAACATGGTTTGCATGTTCTAGTATCATAAAAAAATACAAATGACAGTTTGCACAATTCTAGAAACTCTATATGAGGTACATATGTAGCTGCGAGCTCCTTCTCAGATGTATGAAAAAATCACTTCATCAAGACTCATTTTTGAGAGCTTCATCAAATTACAAAGTATATAGCTCCTGTGTTAACTGTTCTGGAATAGAGGTTTTGGAGATGTTTTAACCAATTCACATGTAACCACGTAATGGATACAATTACTTATATTTTTCTTTCATTTCAACATATTTTATTGACATTGAAGAATGTTACACTGTCAAAAGGATTGGACAACAGGCTTATAGCCTATATAAGTCCTCTCCATTGATGGTAGGTATATGGACCTAATGGATTGAATTTATAATAATAAGATTTTGCTTACTGTCAAAAAATTTTCTTTATTGTTCCTGTATCTCTATGACTATCATTATATGTCTAATGATCAATATATATGTAATGCATGTGTATGTTGGTCTGAGGTATATAAAGTATTCTGTGATATTCAAATTTCACCTCAACATGACCAAGTAGTTGTTTGTTCCTACTATGTCTAAGGGTCCTTCTCCTATCAAAGCCAGTAGACATACGTGTTGCAGGTTGTTACACTTAAAATTTATCTCTGGTTTCAGAGAACAACATGGATTTTGTTCTAATACTGTAAATCATATGATCATGATGTATCTTTCATGGTAGATAGTCATGTTGTCACTGTTCCTGTGTATTGTTGAATGGTACTCCTGTTGACATGGTGTATCTTGTTGTATGTTGTATGGTTCTCCTGTTGACATGGTGTATCTTGTTGTATGTTGTATGGTTCTCCTGTTGACATGGTGTATCTTGTTGTATGTTGTATGGTTCTCCTGTTGACATGGTGTATCTTGTTGTATGTTGTATGGTTCTCCTGTTGACATGGTGTATCTTGTTGTATGTTGTATGGTTCTCCTGTTGACATGGTGTATCTTGTTGTATGTTGTATGGTTCTCCTGTTGACATGGTGTATCTTGTTGTATGTTGTATGGTTCTCCTGTTGACATGGTGTATCTTGTTGTATGTTGTATGGTTCTCCTGTTGACATGGTGTATCTTGTTGTATGTTGTATGGTTCTCCTGTTGACATGGTGTATCTTGTTGTATGTTGTATGGTTCTCCTGTTGACATGGTGTATCTTGTTGTATGTTGTATGGTTCTCCTGTTGACATGGTGTATCTTGTTGTATGTTGTATGGTTCTCCTGTTGACATGGTGTATCTTGTTGTATGTTGTATGGTTCTCCTGTTGACATGGTGTATCTTGTTGTATGTTGTATGGTTCTCCTGTTGACATGGTGTATCTTGTTGTATGTTGTATGGTTCTCCTGTTGACATGGTGTATCTTGTTGTATGTTGTATGGTTCTCCTGTTGACATGGTGTATCTTGTTGTATGTTGTATGGTTCTCCTGTTGACATGGTGTATCTTGTTGTATGTTGTATGGTTCTCCTGTTGACATGGTGTATCTTGTTGTATGTTGTATGGTTCTCCTGTTGACATGGTGTATCTTGTTGTATGTTGTATGGTTCTCCTGTTGACATGGTGTATCTTGTTGTATGTTGTATGGTTCTCCTGTTGACATGGTGTATCTTGTTGTATGTTGTATGGTTCTCCTGTTGACATGGTGTATCTTGTTGTATGTTGTATGGTTCTCCTGTTGACATGGTGTATCTTGTTGTATGTTGTATGGTTCTCCTGTTGACATGGTGTATCTTGTTGTATGTTGTATGGTTCTCCTGTTGACATGGTGTATCTTGTTGTATGTTGTATGGTACTCCTGTTGACATGGTGTATCTTGTTGTATGGTAATTCTGTTGACATGGTGTATCTTGTTGTACGGTACTCCTGGTGACATGGTGTAACTTGTTGTATGGTACTCCTGGTGACATGGTGTATCTTGCTGTATGGTACTCCTGGTGACATGGTGTAACTTGTTGTACGGTACTCCTGGTGACATGGTGTAATTTGTTGTATGGTACTCCTTGTGACATGGTGTAACTTGTTGTATGGTACTCCTGGTGACATGGTGTAACTTGTTGTATGTTGTATGGTACTCCTGTTGGTGTATTTTACTCTGTGGTACACAATGATGTTGACGTAGAATATTTGTTGTATGTTACAGCCACGGTGGAGTGAGTATCTCTGGAGTGGAAACTAAAATGGGATCCACACCAAAGAAAGGCACTTCCACAAAGGGCAAACCTACCACCAACAAGAAAACAGATGAAGGTAAGTTAACCTCTACATTTCATTCAGTGGTGGTTATAAACCATTGATAGTAATAGATAACCTGAGGGAAGTATAGCATTCTCAAGTATCTCAATAGGCTCATTGTTATAATTATCAATTTTGTTAAAAAAAATGGAAATAATCAGAAGGATACCGATACATGTTTTCTTCCACCTGTATATATAAAACCCATGTGTGGTAAATCTTTCTCACATATAGGTGGTACACTCAGGGTTTGGAGAGCTAAATCCTGACCAGGATGTGCATAAGAAGAAATAATTCAAAAGTTCAGTATCATATATTAACTTGTGTTCTGAGACTTGACGTAATTTCATGGTGATACATATGTGACACCTGTAGATGTCACTTTGGTCTGCAACAAGAAAAAGGAGTCAGTCAGTCATTTTGAAGGCATTTGGGAGATTGAAACGCTTCCCTTAGTATCAAATTTGTGATGATAAGGTGAAATTCTACCCTTAGTATCAAATTTGTGATCATCAGGTGAAATTCTACCCTTAGTATAGAATTTGTGATCATCAGGTGAAATTCTTCCCTTAGTATCGAATTTGTGATCATCAGGTGAAATTCCAACCCTTAGTATGGAATTTGTGATTATCAGGTGAAATGCTTCCCTTAGTATTCTAACCCTTAGTATAGAATTTGTGATTATCAGGTGAAATTCTAACCCTTAGTATAGAATTTGTGATCATCAGGTGAAATTCTACCCTTAGTATAGAATTTGTGATCATCAGGTGAATTTCCTTACTTCTATACCATCATAATGATTTTAAGTCTTTATTAGTTTAGGCATATAAAATCAAATTATAAAATCATGATATTTCCATTACTCTTTTATCTTTACAGACGATTGGGCGACCAGCAGTTCATCTGATAGTGAGGAGATTTAGCTGACCCCTTTCCTACACTTATACACCTAGTTACTAATTAATCAACTTAATTGATGATGTGGGGGTAAATAATTCAGGTGATTACCTCTCTATATACCTGTAAATATTTTTATCTCAGATGTGAAGTTTTTTAGTTTTAATGTAAACTGTAACTCTCATTCCATATAGATTGTTATGTGATATTAGTTATGAATTCTTATTCTGTGATACATGAAATGATCTGTCCTCACTAATGTGATAGTCCTGGTAAGGATATTATAGTTATATATTGTTCTCCACAATAAACTGAAGTTTTTTGATATTTGAAAACTGTTTTTACTGTGCCTTTCCTAGTGACATTCAATTTTATTTTAACTTATTGATACTTTTGTACCTTGGATTATTTCAGTTTTGCATGATTTTTAATTTTACATCAGTTAATGTTTTAAGCATTGATTGCCAATTCAGGTATTTCCAAAGCAGTGATGTAAAATTCTAATGCAGTGACACAATAATGGCAAGCTACAACAGTCTCACCGTGACTTTACCAGAAATGTTCTACCCTATCAGACATATAATGTAACCCAATATTTTTTTGTGTTAATTTTTGGAAGTTTATCTATCCGCCTTGTACCAAATATTGTTACATGTCTATTTGTTGCAAGTTCAAATGTACTTTTGAATCATGTACAAAAACCTAGTTATGAAACCGCTGCTTCCTTGATGTCTGAAATTGCCTTGATCAGTAACTGAGTAAACTATTGAAGTTTTACATGTATTGATTCTGTCAGGTGTTTACTCTGTATGTGGTGTGTGATGTGTCCGGTTTGCGACATCACAGGAAACATTTGATCACAATAGTTCGTGTTATCTTTACCTAGTCAGATTTCTGTATTTAGAAAATCACAAATATATTAAAATAATCATGAGAAAATGTTATCTAGCTTTTTATATATTTTTACACTGTCCTTTTTTTCTGGGTTGTTTTGTACAGGATTCTATATAGATTGGAATGATGCCTTTTTATGTGTGTATATATATATTGGAATCATTCTGAAGTCCTTCTATTAATTATCACAACGATAAGGATACAAATTGGTCAGTTATTGAAAAAGAATGTTTGTATTGTTAATATTTCAAGTTGGGTTTGCTACTTTTGTTTCTTCGGAGCGTATTATCATTGTCATACTTTTATGTGAAGTCCTGGGCCCGTATTATCATTGTAATACTTTTATGTGAAGTCCTGGGCCCGTATTCTCATTGTCATACTTTTATGTGAAGTCCTGGGCCCATATTATCATTGTCATACTTTTATGTGAAGTCCTGAGCCCGTATTATCATTGTCATACTTTTATGTGAAGTCTTGGGCCCGTATTATCATTGTCATACTTTTATGTGAAGTACTGGGCCCGTATTATCATTGTCATACTTTTATGTGAATTCCTCGGCCCATATTATCATTGTCATACTATTATGTGAAGTCCTGGGCACGTATTATCATTGTCATACTTTTATGTGAAGTACTGGGCCCGTATTATCATTGTCATACTTTTATGTGAAGTCCTGGGCCCGTATTATCATTGTCATACTTTTATGTGAAGTCCTCGGCCCATATTATCATTGTCATACTATTATGTGAAGTCCTGGGCCCGTATTATCATTGTCATACTTTTATGTGAAGTCCTGGGCCAATAGTCATGAATCCGTTATCATGCTCAAGCCTAATTTCCTGTTTCAGTTATTAATGAATAAAAAATAACTGATTTTTTCAATGATTTGGACAAAATTTGAAGAGACCTAATGCCGCATACCGTTTTCAATTTTTGTAACCGAAACATTGTATATGCTCTGGTAGAAACATTGTATATGACCTCGTAGAAACATTGTATATGACCTCGTAGAAACATTGTATATGACCTGGTAGAAATGTATTGTGTTACTCTAGCTGTCTAATCAACATTTGTCTTACCTGGTAGGAACATAATGTAACAATGATGTTGCATTGTAGGAACATTGTATAGAAAATTGTTTTACATTGTAGAAACATTGCATAGAAAATTGTTTTACATTGTAGAAACATTGTATAGAACATTGTTTTACATTGTAGAAACATTGTATAGAACATTGTTTTACATTATAGAAACATTGTAGGAACACTGTGTTACAATGTAGAAACATTGCATGTAACATTGTATTACACTCTAGAAACATTATAAATGGAAGCATGTTAATTAAGGCACATTGTGTTACACTAGAAACATTGAGTTACACTTAAAAACATTGTAAGGAACATTATGTTACATTGTAAGGAACATTATGTTACCTTGTAAGGAACATTATGTTACATTGTAAGGATTACTGGTATATTGTTTTACTCTTTAAGTTTGTAGTGCTTCATTGTGGTAATATCGCATTTTGAGTTTGTTAAATTAAGAACTACACATACTACAGACAACAGATAGGAAAAGTTTGTTCGATTTAGAACAACATGTACTGGTACAGACAGCAGAAAGGAACAGTTTAACATGACAAATGATTGATAATTTTCATTTTTAACTTCTATTTCATCAAGTTATTTTTCACACAGATTGTGGTGAAAGTTAATTATCATCAAACATTCAGTACATAGCTATGACAACAAATCAGTTTCACTTGTGATTAACAGGTTTTGATGTGTAGACACGGGTAATTTTCCTGTCAGTTTTGTGTGTGTGATTATGGCACAAAAAATGGCTTTCAAAGTTCATTAATAGGACTGCAAACATACTAAGATAGCAACACTTCATAGTAATTAATCTTGTAAATCTTAATTATGTTTGAGTTTACCACTGTAATTACAAACAAATCTGTTCAAATAATTGGGAAATTGAATATTTAGCATAATAATCATTAGCTAGATGGAGTATTTTATGGATAACAAATGTAAGACAATAGATAACATGTGTTTTACTTGACCATTCTGATAGGTAGATTAAGTTTTTCTTGACTGGTCTGATAAATAAATATCTTGATATCTTAAATAAAGTTTGTTTTTAAAACCATTTCACTTGACTTGACAGGTACATAAATCATTATAACATAATGTCAAAGGTCAGGGTAATTTTTTAAAAACGTTTGGCTGATTGTTTCTGCTGTCTGTGTCAACATTTTGGTCAAAGGTCATTCAAAGTTGATTCCTTCAATCTGATTGGCTGATGGTTTCTTCTTCATAGCTTTGTTAGAACCTTATCTTCACCAAACGTGATGAGGTTATATCTATAACTGACTGCTCAGTAACAGGAAAGTTCGCTAATCTGTCAAATGTCAAGGTCATTAAATAAGAATTCCTACATATTATACAGTGCATGTTATATGTGAATGAACACCTATATCAATGATTGGTAAAGGAAATGCAAATTGAAAATAATATTTTCTGAAATTTATTTCATTTAAGATGTTTCAATACTACGAGGTACCAGGTACTGACATTACTTCAAGTAATTGATTAGGTGACAGTTGTGGGCATTATAGGATATTCTATATGTATAAAGAAATCTGTTTGTGACATTTAAATACATTGCAATGTTTGGATATGCCTGAATTGCATTGTTTATATATTTGAAAGCATTATGATATATGATAGGTATTATTTTAACTTGATATTTAGAGCTGAAACATAGTTTATTTTGAAATTCGAAATGTTAGTCATAATATTCAGAGAACATGACGATATTTTTTGTATCTTGTCAAATAAAAAATGGCTAAAATATAATTAGAAAATGGAGCTGATTAATTCTGCATTGGTGTAAAAAAAATGTCAGGTTTTGTGAATCATTCAATATCTGTTAAAAAAAAAGATTAGAATTGAATTCATGTTTTAAATCTCTTTGCAGGCTGTTACTGTAAATATGAAAATGTCCAGCTATGGAATGTAATATTGTGTTACAGATGTGATATTAATAAAAGTGCTATCTCCTGAACTCAATAGATTATATCAATATATAATTATAGTAGCCTGTAGATTGAGTTCAGAATAACAATAAAATAAACAACTTATAAAAACACATTTTTATATTAGACTTGTTTGTATTTTTTGAAACATAAATACTGTACATTGATATTTGTTTGTTGACCATTATTAGAGTGTGGGGAGATAATGGAGGCCAGAGACAGACGTTGTTGACCATTACTAGAGTGTGGGAAGATAATGGAGGCCAGAGACAGACGTTGTTGACCAGTACTAGAGTGTGGGGAGATAATGGAGGCCAGAGACAGACGTTGTTGACCATTACTAGAGTGTGGGGAGATGCCAGAGACAGACGTTGTTGACCACTACTAGAGTGTGGGGAGATAGTGGATGCCAGAGACAGACGTTGTTGATCATTACTAGAGTGTGGGGAAATGCCAGAGACAGACGTTGTTGACCAGTACTAGAGTCTGGGGAGATGCCAGAGACAGACGTTGTTGACCATTACTAGAGTGTGGGGAGATAGTGGATGCCAGAGACAGACGTTGTTGATCATTACTAGAGTGTGGGGAGATGCCAGAGACAGACGTTGTTGACCAGTGCTAGAGTGTGGGGAGATAGTGGATGCCAGAGACAGACGTTGTTGACCAGTACTAGAGTGTGGGGAGATAATGGAGGCCAGAGACAAACGTTGTTGACCAGTACTAGAGTGTGGGGAGATGCCAGAGACAGACGTTGTTGACCAGTACTAGAGTGTGGGGAGATAGTGGATGCCAGAGACAGATGCTGTTGACCATTACTAGAGTGTGGGGAGATGCCAGAGACAGACGTTGTTGACCAGTACTAGAGTGTGGGGAGATGCAAGAGACAGACGTTGTTGACCAGTACTAGAGTGTGGGGAGATAATGGAGGCCAGAGACAGACGTTGTTGACTAGTACTAGAGTGTCGGGAGATGCCAGAGACAGACGTTGTTGACCATTACTAGAGTGTGGGGAGATAATGGAGGCCAGAGACAGACGTTGTTGACCAGTACTAGAGTGTGGGGAGATGCCAGAGACAGACGTTGTTGACCATTACTAGAGTGTGGGGAGATAATGGAGGCCAGAGACAGACGTTGTTGACCAGTACTAGAGTGTGGGGAGATAGTGGACGCCAGAGACAGACGTTGTTGACAATTACTAGAGTGTGGGGAGATGCCAGAGACAGACGTTGTTGACCATTAATAGAGTGTGGGGAGATGCCAGAGACAGACGTTGTTGACCATTACTAGATTGTGGGGAAACAATGGAGGCCAGAGACAGACGTGTTGTTGACCATTACTAGAGTGTGGGGGACAATGGAGGCCAGAGACAGACGTTGTTGACCATTACTAGAGTGTGGGGAGATAGTGGACGCCAGAGACAGACGTTGTTGATGTAACAATACAAGGGACGGGGATTGCAGAGAGATAACAAACATTCAGCACAATTACGTTTCTGCTCTGTCCTTACTTTGACTGAAGTCTCAATGGTTGGTTTCAAGGTATAAGATTTATCATCTTATCAGGGGTCAAATTTGTTTAAAAAACCACTTCTTCTAAAGACTGGAAAGACCTAGAGTAATGATATTTGGCCAATAACTTTCTTCCATGGAGTGCTACAAAGTTTGCAAAAGAAATAACTTTTGACATGCATTGTGTATATTCAAGGTCACAGGATCAAATGTTTTAAAACACTCAAACAACTTATTTTGAATAACCAAAAGGTCTAGATGCAAATTTGTCCTTGAGTTTGCTGATATGGAGGAGTGCTTCAAAGTTATGTAAATTCAAGGTCATAGTGGTCAAAATTGTTGAAAAACTTAAACAACTTCTTCAAAACAACAGGAAAATATTGATTCATGATATATCTGCCCGTAACTTTCCTGCATTGAGTGCTACAAACTTTGGGAAAAGAAATTGTCTGGATCTTTATTTGACGTCATCAGGGTGAAATTTGTTTAAACATTTTTACCATTTCTTCTGAAGAATGAAAAGACCTACGAACTGATATTTTGGCCAGTATTTTCCTTGCATGGAGTGCTACATGCAGAAAGACCTTGACCCATATCCATGGTCACAGGGGTCAAATTTAAAATATTTAAAACAACTTCCTCTGAATAGCAGAAAGGCCTAGACGCATGATATTTGGCCAAAAAAAAAACCATATATATTTAAGGTCATGAGGGCCTGATCAAATTATTTCCTCTGAAGAGCTAAGAGGCCTAGGCTAATGCTACTTTTCTTGTAGCTTGTTGACATTGGGTGCTAGCAAGTATGAAAAAAAATGCCCCATTGATCAGGTAAGCGTCTTCAGGCCCCTTGTAACCTACTGAGATCTATTAATGATCCGTGGGTGGGCTGAGGTTATGAAGAAGTATGTTATAATCATTAAGCACAAAACGTTATATAATATTTTAATGCATATTTATTCAAAAC